TATTTTTGAATAAGAGTTCCTGTTTCTATATTAAAATAACTTCAGTTCAAACTTAATATTTTTAAGGCTAAACTGATGGGCATATCAATTCATTACTTAGCCCCCTAGCATTTAAAATGTTTAAGCTTTGGATAAAACTGTCATAACCCTTATTGTAGGGGTTTTGTCCAAACTATGCATTGAGATCATTTAGATTATATCCCCATTTACCAGGCCTAAAAGATAATTTGCCTTGCTATCCAAATTCATAGAAAAGGTAGCTTGCCAAACAGATTTCAAAATAAACTTTGACTGTTCCTTTGTTTAAAGGAATTCATCACATTGGCTGCTCTCAGTAATCAATCACCTATATCTCCTGATGAATTAAATACAAAAATGCTTTTAGATGTAAAGTTTTTATAAGGATATAAATGATTAGATATAAAGAATGTTTAAGAACAAGCCGGGCGGTGGTGGCGCACGCCTTTAATCCCAGCACTCGGGAGGCAGAGCCAGGCGGATCTCTGTGAGTTCGAGGCCAGCCTGGACTACCAAGTGAGTTCCAGGAAAGGCGCAAAGCTACACAGAGAAACCCTGTCTCGAAAAACCAAAAAAAAAAAAAAAAAAAAAAAAAAGAATGTTTAAGAACATTAAGAAATAGTTTATTATATGTGTAATGCAAATAATTGGGATAGAGAAATATAACATATAAACATCTAGATATGTTATAAATAATACATAAATCTCAATAAGTAACCCAGAGATACTGAGGATGTATGCCTAAGTTAGATCTATGGATAAGGTTTTTATTGAGGTCTGAGATAGATATATAGGCTTTAAAAATAAACTTATGTATACCTTAATACAAAAGTCTATGGACCTCCTCAGAAGGGACACTGGGGCTAATTATAGGCCGTAGCTCCTCGACTGTACAAGCAAGGTTGCCCTAGGGATGTGCTATTCTGACTTTACTGGAGAGATTAAGATCATTGTACAATTCAGATTCATATAGGGCAGCGCCTAGGGGAGCTGCTGATGTGGATTCTAGTGATATGGCCTTCTGGGTTCAGGAATTTAAATATTCCAAACAACTAAACACTTAAAATATAGGGAAAGAAGATAATTTGCTTGCTAGACATAAACATAGATGTTTCTTATATTTCAGAAAAAGATTGGCCAAGTACTTAAGACGACTATTACCTCTTTGTCTCTTACAGGCGTAGGTCAAGCTAATAATGTAGCCAGAAGGTCAGGAAAATCTAATGCTCCTATCTGGATCAAACAATGGCTTTTAAATGCTGAGAAAATTATAATTGCTACCTGTCTGGTGGAGGAAAAACTTAAATATTGGGCATATAAAGTCCCCACCAGCCCTTAAATTACCCCAATATCTTTTTATTTAGGAAAATCAGGCTTATAGACTGTTACAGGTCCTTAAAAAATTAAATAAAATTTATTAAAGCCAAGGAAAGTCTCACAGCCTGGCTTGCCATCTCCCAGGGCCATCCCCAGAAATAAAAAAAAAAAAAGTCATTGATATACAGGATCGCTTCTTTACCATACCTCCTCAACCTAAAGATTGTCAGCATTTCAAATATTTTTAGCTTGCCTACTCACCCTACCATGATGGAGGCCAAAGCTGACATACAGAGCAGAAAATGCGAGTTCTGTTTATCCAGGACTAATTCATTGAGCAAAGTTCCTCATTATATATACAGATTAACTATCAAAACTAACTGTCATTTATAGCTTCCTCACAGTCCCCCAACCCATATGTATGTATACATGTATATGTATATACATATATCTTATAATACATTTATTGTACAGATGATATATTTATATCAAACTATGAAACTTGTGAGTCTATAGAATGGCAGCTAGCTCTACAGGATACACCTTTTCATATGTCTGTTCAACAATTATAAATTCTCTCCCTATGGAAGCTTACCCACGAGGCTTATGTCCTTATGATTTATAGTTATAAAATAAAAAAAAAGTAATACACCATTTCTTTCACTGCCTTTTAATTTTAGGAATGCCTGGAGCTCATATATAGACAACAGCCTTACATATACTTCAAGAGCTCTTAAGAATTGGTGCTTGATTTTTCATATCCCCCACTACAGGTATTCCTCATCACCACCAGGCCAAGTCACAAAGTTACACCTAAGCCTCTATGATCTCCTCACTGATATTTAAAAAGGCCCTGATGTTTTCATAATGTCGGGAGGAGGATACATGTCTTTATAGGACACTGACCCGCCTTTATGAATCCTGGTTTGCTTGGTCACACCATATATTGGCAGCTGCAGGACAAAGGCGCTCTAAAGCTGCCAGTCTAAATACAGGCTGTTATTTACCTCTAGATTCTTAAATATTGAGCCTTAAATATAAATAAATTGATACAATTCCAGATCCTTTTGATGAACTGTTCATCAAAACTTATAGAAATATGATTAGAACTAATCTGTTCTAAATGTATTTTATTAATTTTTGTCAAAACATATATGAGACTTGAGAGATATATAAATGACACATTTCAGATTTCATTTTCTGGCTATCCTGATGTTTTGTTGAGGCTCCAAGGACTCATAATTTTGCTCTGATAAAGTTCACCACTGTTATATTGCTAACATGTCTAAGATTTTGTCTATTAAGAAGGTTCTCATAAGCTTCAGGAGATCATGCTGGCGGTGATGGCGCGCGATCAACATTTGCCAATGCCCACAAGCCAAGAAGGACTGGGAGGAATACAACCTGACTACAGTTTATATCTCCCACTTACAAATTTTCTTTTTCTTCTCTGGGGGTGGGGTCAGACTGCCCACAATTGCAAAATTTATTGAAGGGAGGAAAGCGTAGGATGCCCCAACCCGTGACTGTAGTCATTCTGGCTGTCCTCCTGGGGGCCGGAGCTGCAGGGGCCGGTACTGGCATAGCTTCCCTGGTTTTATCTAATCAACATTATTCAGAGCTTAGAATTTCCATAGATGAAGATATAGGGCAGCTTGAGCGAGGCATTTCTGCCCTTGAATCCTCCCTCACCTCCCTTTCAGAGGTGGTCCTCCAAAACCGCCAAGGGCTCAACCTCCTCTTTTTACAGCAAGGAGGTCTGTGTGCCGCTCTTAAGGAAGAGTGCTGCTTTTATACTGATCACACAGGAGTAGCAAGGGATAGCATGGCCAAAGTCCGGGAAGGCTTAGAGAAGCGCAAAAAAGAAAGAGATCAAGAGCTAGGCTGGTTCCAAAATTAGTTCTCTGCATCTCCCTGGCTAATCACCCTCCTGCCGTCCCTTCTGGGACCCTTGGTTGGCCTCATTCTTGTCTTGACATTCGGCCCTTGGGCCTTGTCTCGACTAACTCGATTTGTGCGCGGTCAGCTGGCCGAACTTCAGGCAAAACAAATTCAGGTTCATTCCCATCGCCTGGATCTCCATGATCGTGTTCTCGATGAACCAGATAAAGACTCCATATCAGCACAGGCCCCTCTGCCCAGGGGAGGATGCACCTGTGCCTGGGAGCTGGAGCCCACTGCATAGGGGATTGAGGGTGCAGCCGGGACTGCAGAAGGCAGGGAGACTAAAGTGCTCCACCGTCCTGGGTGCCTTGGATGACAAGCTCTATTGCATGGCGGTTATGCAGACCCTATACCCTTTCCTCCCGAATTCAAACCCGCCCCCTGTAAAACACTGCATCGTTCCAGCCTCCTTCGGGGCATGTGGAGACGCCTGCATGGACCGACAGCCGATAATGGAACCTATCAGGGATAGAGCCTCTGTCACCCCTCTCCCGTCATGGCAAAAACATTTGGGCCTCCTTTCTTTGTTTTGCTATACGTATAGAAGGGGGAGATGTCAGCGACCAAACATGGACCATGGAAAAGTACTAGCTAGGCCAGAGAACAAGCCCCTACCCTAAACCGGATGCCCCCAAAGATAAAGAACAGGTCAGGCAGGTCAGGTAGCATAGCAATAGAACAATGGGCCCTGACCAGTGACCTTACCACCTAGCAGCCTCACGACTTGCACGACTTGCACGTAGCCCCTCACCTGCACGTCCCCCTTCACCTGCACGTACGGCACGTCGTGCACCCCTTCCCTCCTCCCCTCCCCCTCCCATACTATATAAGCCTTGCTGAGGAGAATAAAATTTGCAGCTTGATCAGAACACACTATCTTGCTGTCTTCTCTCATGTCTCCCCCATCCCTCTCATTCTCTCCCACAGGTGGGTCACCCCCGTTGACACCCCGCTGGCCGGGGCACCATTCTGCAAATATCCTTACATTTATTTCTCTAATTTTTTAAAAAAATTATTATTGTGCAGTATGTATATGTATGTGTACATTTGCATAAGTGTACACACATGTGGATTGTAGATGACAACCTTTGCTATCATCCTGAATGTCTTGGGGCTCACCAAGTAGGCAAGCCTGGCAGCACAGTGATCCTAATGTCTGCCTGTCCAAGTATCGGCAACATTCGAAACTTTATGTGGTTCCTGGGATGGAACCCATGTCCTTGTGTTTGTGGGACAAATAATTTACCAATTGACCCATCTCCCAAAAACAGTGTTTTGTTTTTAGTATAATTTTTTTTGCCCCTTTCAGTGTATGTTCTTCCCAGACATGTTTTTTTCATCTGTGGGTTATTACACACCATTGTCTTAATTTCTGTGTTAATTCCATATCCCCAAGTCAAACAGTTCTCTTTCATAAGTTCCACTTTCTATAATATCTTGTCCCTGAATGCTGGTCTACCTCAGGCCTTCTTTAGAAGCCACAGCTCTTTACAAATGAACACTTAGCCCCTGAGGAACTCACAGGCTCTGTGTTCATCTACATTTGTTACTATAATTTCCAGGTGGTCTCTAAAGAAAGTAGGAACACATTGTGTCCCTGTTCACATCCTTTCTGTTCTTGTGTTCTCTGGACTCTGTCCTGCACAAGCTCGTCCTTCTGCATCTCCCACAGCTGAGAAAACTCAGAGGGTAAGCTCAGGTGAGGGCCTGTCCTGGATCACTTACCTTTGCTTCCTCCAGAGGAAGACCATCAATACACAGACGGGGGTTATGAGCACAGCCGTGGCCACCACCACCCCGATCGTGGCTCCCAGGTTCACAAGTGAAATTTTCCTCAGGCCCCCTGTGTCCTCCAGGCCAGATGTGGTGACTGCAGAGGTGACTATGAAGGAGCTCTGCATGGTGGTCCTGATACCTGGGAGAGATGAAGATTAAGCAGATCCCCCTGGATGAGGGAGGGATGGGGTGAGTGTCACACCTTGTCTCCTCTGTGGGATGTGGGATAGGGAACAGCTGTTAGAATTTCACAGAGAGGGAACACATGCTGAAGGCTGAGACTCCAGGAGAGCAAGCTCGAATGCACACTCTCCACCTGTCCTGGAGGTGTGTCCTAAGATTGTCATCTGGTCACAGACAACTAAGCCACAGAAGTACTGTTGTTCTTGTCATAGATGTAGATAACATGCAGGTATGACTCAGTCCATAGTGTTTGTTGCTCAGGCCATAGAACCTGAGGTTGATCCCTAGTATCTGTATCAAGAGCCTGCTGAACTGGGTGTGGCCTTCAATCTTAACCCTAGAAGCAGAGGCACCCAGATCTCTGTAAGTTAAAGCCAGCCAGTCTCTACACATTTAGCTCAACACCAAACAAGCTGAGTAAGATGTAATCCCTGTACTGAGGAGCTGGAGACAAGCATGTGTCTATGGCTCACTGGTCTACTGGTCAACCTAGTCTACTTGGCAAACTTGAAGCTAGTAAGAGACCCTGTCTCAAAATAAGGGAAGGACACCTGAAGTTTTCCTCCAGGTCGATATGCACACTAAGAAATGTGAACATTCTCACACTCACACACGCACAGAAACAGACAGACAGACAGACAGACATACAGACACACACACACACACACACACACACACACACACACACACACACACCTGAATTAACAGACCACCCACATGTTAACACACCATGAATACATAAAAATGTATAACAGAAAATATATAGTTTTAGTCAGTGTAGGGCAGAGTACATTCATCTCTCTACAAACATCACTAAGGATAATTTCCACAACATTTACTTATTTGGAAACACTAGACCAACAGTTTCCAACCTGTGGTTCGCCACATCCACAGTGGTAGATATTTACATTGTGATTCATAACAGTAGAAAAAGTACAGTTATGAATTGTCAATGAAAATAATTTTATGGTTGGGAGTCACCACAACATGAGGAACTGTATTAAATGGTTGAGAACCACTACTCTAGACCCATGAAAAAACTCCTTTCCCTCCTGACCCTGAGCCCTGGCAGCTGCTGGTTGACATTACATCAGGTCAACATGGCAGCCATAGAGACTGTGCAGAGAACTCTGCTGTGGGTGTCCTCTCACAGGTTGGCTTAATCCAGTCCAGAGCCACTGCTGGATGTGGTGGCACCTGAGTCTAATCTCAGCAGTTGGGAGGTGGAGGCAGGTAGATTTCTGTGAGTTCCAAATAACCAGGGCTAAATGGTTAGACCCTGTATTATAATAAAACAAAACACCAAATATAAATATAAAAATATACAAAATCTAAAAAAAGCAACATAGCAAGACTGTGATCAACAACTAAGCACAGAGTCTCCCAGCTGCTGCGGGGCCATGTGAAGAACACAGGGGTAACAGTCACACAGTGACGAGGCTGGACCTCAGTGTTCCCTGTGCATGGGACTCTAGTTATTTCTGCTGCAGAGGAGAGGCAAGGATCAGAAGACAGAGCAGCCACATCATGAAAATGGGGACATTATTTCCTAAGACCCTTGGAGCTTGTGTGGGAGAGGTGAGGGAAATAGAGTAAGAAAGGAGACAGGGGGGGTTGGGAAATGGAGAGGAGACAAGGGAGTGGGTAGGGAGAGGTGAGTGATGTGGGCTGGGGAGCTAGGAGGGGAAATGGGGAACTGTGGTGCTAGATGGGTGTTTACACTTGGACTGGAGGACTCAAAAAACATCCAGTGGGCACCTGCTGTTTGTTCTGGGCTTAGGTTGGAGCTGTGTGGAGATGCTCCATACAGGGACTCACTACAGCCCTGCCTCAGGACCAAGTGAGTCAGTTACATCCTGGAGACGTCACTCAGTTGAGGTCCTGGAGAAGTGGCCTGGCCTGCAGTGTTAGTTTGGGACTGTTAGGGGGTAAATTGACTAGGGGGGGGGGCATGCTGATTCATAGAGAGGATGTAGGGTTCCATCTTATCAGAGAGTGACAGACAAGGTCAGAGGAGGCAGCAAAGGCTTGTCACAAATACAAGGTAAAGATCTGTTTGCAGAGGCCTGGACAGAGCCAAGGGAAAGGAATATGAAAGAAATCTCAGAGGTGTGGAGCCTGAGGTGACATCTAGGGGACAAGGAAGCCAGAGGAATCAAAGCCAGAGCCAGGGTGGCTCACCATGGGTGATGGTCAGCTGGGTCCCTACAATTGACTGCAAACTCTCCATGCCTCGTTTTGAGTTCAGTTGAAATTGGCAAAAGTACTTTGTCTGGTCCTTCTTCTTCAAGTCCAGGATTCTGAGGACTCTGGATGTCTGAGGTTGTGTCCAGTTCAGGGTGAACCGGTTCTTGAAATGCTCATGTATGAAAAGTGGGGTGGAGTTGTAGATAAATTCCCCATGGAAGTCTTTCCATCTCCAGAGAATCCTCATATCTGGATCCTCTGCCAACTCCCAGGGGAAGTAGAAGGAGAAGGGGATCTCGATGGAGCCTCCCTCGACACCAGAGAGGTTTATTGGCTGAATAACATTTAAGAGTCTTTCTCTGTTCGGTCCTACTGAGTGACCTGGGAAGGATGGGGAAAATCTGAAATCTCTGCAGGGGATAGAAGGGACAACCCAGAGTTTTGGTTGAGCCATCATCCACAGGGAAGGATGGGACACAGGACAGGACTGTCCCTATGTCCCACTGTCCCATATAGGACAGGACAGACAAGGAAGTGTTGGGCTGGACCCACTCTGAGGATGAGCTCTTTTAGGACAGAGAAGACTATGGCTCCTCTATCAGACACCTGTCCACATGACAGCCTGCTCTTCCCAGCCCCACTGGCCCCTCCTGTGGTTAGGGCAGAGTCCCTGCTAACAAGGTCCCCACCACTCACCAGCTTGCAGGCATGCAGCTGACAGCAGCAGAAGCAGGATCCAAGCCATGGCCTGATTCCCTCCAGGAAGTGAGACCAGCAGAGTTATCAGGAAGGAGAGGAGGACCTGTGAGGGACACTGGGGTGCTCAGGAGTCAGGAAGAATCAGGGTAAAGGGACACAAAACCCCACAGTCTTCTCAGGTGGAGGACAGAATGGGGCAGGACCTCCCCATCTCCACCTCCTTGTGACCAGCAACTTCATCATTCTGGCTTCTTCCTTCCCACACCGCAGAACATCCTTCCTTGTGGTCACCGACAGGATGGCTGTGCCCTTGAGCCCAGAACCCATTGTTGACAGGAAGATATGGAACTGACCTCACCATGCCGGGCTCTCCTCTCTTCCACCTTGACCTCCTGTCTTATCCAGTCTTGTCCATTTCCCATGTGGCCTGTAATCACTGGTTCCTCACCTCCAGATTTCCTCCACTCCTGCCCTCCTCATCATCATCTGTTTCTCATTGTGTCTCCCACCATACTGGTTGTCTGTCTGTCTGTCTGTCTAATAACCTCAGGCACAGAAGTGGTCAGTTTCTGCTCACTTCAGACACAGCGAGGATGGAGGTGATGAGGAAACACATTCAGTCCCAGCCCTAGCTCGGTGTCCCCACCACCATCTGCTCTTTGTTCTCTTCTGTGCTTCCTTTCATGTCGCTATGGCAACCTGCCCTCTCTGGAGGGTATAGGAGGCTGGGAATAGCAGCAGGACCCAGGCCTGGGGAACCTTCAGAAAAGCATATCTGTGAGTCCTGACTCTCCTACTACCTGGGAGCAACATGGCCTTCGGAAAGCATTGTGACCATCTGGTGTTTAGTTCCCTGTCTCACACATCTATCTAGGGTTGTTGCCGATGTCCAGTGTGGTGGTCCATGGGAACCAGTCACTGTGTACTGGTTATTACCCTCCCAGATGTGGGTGTACATCGTGTAGACTGGCTGCCAGCATTTGGGGCATCCCCTGCCTTGGGCAGCTAGAAAAAAGTGATAGAGGAGGGGATCTTAGAGGACCAGAAGTTAAGGGTCACATGAGTAACTCTTAATTAGATTCATTTAGGCAAATTCTGTGGATTGTTTTATTTTGTAAAGAAATTTTAGGAAGTTAGAAAAGGACACTGGGAGTTTTTCAGTTTCTCTGAGCTCAAACGCCCTGACATGTGAATTTCTGTCTCTGGCCATGGGTATCAGTGACCCATGAATTTTTGTCTCTGGCTGTGGGTATCAGTGGAAGCTGGGAGTCTTCCTACTAGAAACACAGGTGACTCTGAGATCGTCACCCAGACCCACTCATTTGGCCTTTACAATGGAGTACACAGTCTCTTCCTGGGGGTTCCCATGGACGGGCTGGCAGGGTGGTGTTCCTGGGGAGACTGAGCTTGAGAGGGCAATGGAGGTGTACATGATGTTGTTATCCTGTAGGGACAAGAGGTTAGATGGCAGCAGTGTAGCTGTGGCCACCATAAAGCAGCAGCTGCAGCCTGAGTGTGTTTCCCACATCTGCAGCAGCTGCAGCCTGAGTGTCCTGTAACACCTGCAGTAGCTGCAGGCTGAGTGTCCTGCCCACACCTGCAGCAGCTGCAGCCTGAGTGTCCTGCCCACACCTGCAGCAGCTGCAGGCTGAGTGTTCTGCCCACACCTGCAGCAGCTGCAGCCTGAGTGTCCTGCCCACACCTGCAGCAGCTGCAGTCTGAATGTCCTGCCCAAACCTCCAATCTCCACCCTTCTGCCTCCTTCTTCAACATCCCTTTAACTTCCCTCAGGCCTGACTCTGAGTGGCTTACCTTGGGGTTCTCTTTGGGGTCCATATATTGCCCTAGAGAAAAGGAACATGGAGTGCTGAAGTTAAGCTGTGACAGGAAGGGAGACAGATGGCTGGGAGTTCCAACAGTGAGATGAGGACCTTGGTTACAAAGGAGGGACAGAGTGAAGGGAGGAAGGGAGAAAATACTGAGGGATGCTTATGTAAGTGTGGGGTCTTGGGAGAAGAAGGCAGAGCCAGGTGGGGAAATAGGAAGCTGGCAGATTTTACCTTCAGGTTCAACATTCTCACTGTTTTCAATGAGGTCCCTGCATAGGAACAAATGGACAACATATCAGATTCTGGATTGGAAAGAGTTAAGACATTAGGTGCTGGGCTACAGAGATGGCTCAGTTAGGAAAGTAAGTTTCACATAAACACGAAGTCCTGATTGCAGAGACAGGATCCACAGAACGCTGGATGCTGGAGAAGCAGAGACAGGCAGATAAATTCCTGGAGTTCACTGGCCAGCCTGGACTAACAGGTGAGCTCTAGATTCAGTGAAAAACTCTGTCTCAAAAGATAAAGTGGAGGGCTGGACAGATGGTTCAGCTGGCAAAGTGCCCACTTCACAAACACAAAGACCCAGATTTGGATCCCCAAGGACCCATGTGAAAAAATCTGGACACGATGTGCCTGGAAAGTGGTGGTGGGGAGACGAGGATCCCTGAAGCTCATTGTCTGGGCAGCCTGGCCCAACTGATGAACTCAGGTTAGTGAGAGACCCTGCCTCAAAATAAATATTAAATAACGGTGGGAGAAACTGAGGGGAGTCACCACATAGACCTCTGGCTTCCACACACATGCACAGGTGCAGACACACACACACACACACACACACACACACACACACACACACACACACACACACCCATTCATTCAGGAACACCAAATAGATTGGAGAGCAATTTAGGAAGACACACCATTGATCTCTGGCTTCCACACACTGGGCACATGTGGATGTGCACCTGAACATGTACACACACAGGAACAGTAGCAACACACACAGAACAGGGCACTGTGGTGCATGCTTGTAATCTCAGTGCTCAGGAGGTGGAGACAGGGGACTTCTGTGTTCACTGGCCAACCAACCTGGTCTAATTGGTGAGTTCCAAACCATTACAAGACTCTGTCTGAACAAAACAAAACAACCGCCCATAAAACCTGAATTGAGTCAGCAGGACTGGAGGAAGGGCATCTGGTCAGAAAAGCCCCAGGGAGAGGAGAGAGGGAGGAAACTGGGATGCAGTGTGGCTAGTGGATGCTTGAGTTATATGAACAAGGCCCTGGGTTCCATCCCAGCATGTCATATACCTGGTGTGGTACAATGCCTGTCCTTCCAACAGTTGGGAGGTGGAGGCAAAAGATCAGAAGTTCAAGTTCATTTTTGGCTACAGAGTGAGGTCGAGGCCAGCCTGGGCTAAACGAGACTCTTTCTCAAAAAAAAAAAGGGGTTGGAGGAGGAAGGGTCAGAGCAGGCCATGTACAGTAGGAAAAGAAGAGGCAGGAGAGAAGGGTGGAGAGGTTGGGAGGTGGATAGAAAAGGGCAGAGATGTGAAAGATCTGGAACAAAGGATTCTGGGGCAGCGGGGCTCACTGACCATAGAGACAGACAGAGAGAAGGAAGGAAAAGATGGGAGAGCTGTTGAATCCAGGCGGATGTTCAAGGCTGAGAGGAACCAGAGACAGAGAGGGAAGCCCAGGAAATGGAAGGAGAGAGGGAGGAAGTCTGAGGCCTAAAGGGGGTGTTGTTCTGGGAAGGAGACTCCTGAGACCCTCTGCACTCCTTGTCACTGAGAATCTGGTGCCCTGAGGAGCCTGAGGTCATAGAGGACAAGGAGGGAGCAGACAGGATGAGTCAGTCGTTAGGGAGATGTGAAGAGTCCTGAGTGTGGTTCTCCTTTTTTTATGTTATTTGAAGGGGATGGAGAGATGGCTCAGTGGTTAAGAGCACTGACTGCTCTCACAGAGGACCCGGATGGTGCTCACCTGGCTGGGGTTTCGGCTTTAGTCCTCTGTCCTGTGGGGAAGAAACAGTGTCAGTGTGACATCAGTGCTGATCCTCCATCATCCCTCTCAGCTGTCCTGTGTGTTCAGACCACCTTCAGAGGACAGGGGAGCAGAGAACCTGCCCCAGGCAGTCTAGAGGAGCCTGAGCTCCCTCTGCTGGGCTGTGTCCTACACAGCAACCTCCCCAGATCTCTGCTAGGTCCATGTCCACCCCTGTCTCCTCTGCTTCCTTCACCAACCTTGAGTTCCCCGCACTCCACACCTGCCTCATCTACTCTGCATTCATCTACCTTCCTTTGTGTGCCTTTAGAGACCGCCTTTTTCTGGATTATATTTCACTCTACTGATCTATTTGTCCTGGTGCATACTATTCTCTTTTCATTTAGTGTAGCTTTTTAAAATTGTCACTTATTTATTATATGGTCGGGGGTGTGCCACAGTTTGTATGGAAGTCAGAGGACAACTTGCAGGAGTTGATTTTTTCCACCATGTGGCTCCCAGGCTTCCACACTGACTCACTTTACCCTCTGACGGCTACTGTAGCTTTTAAAAAAATCTATTGTTCATTCATTTCTTTATATTTATTTAGCTACTGTAGCTCTAAAAGTTTTTTGTTGATGTTGTTTTGTTTTGCTTTGCTTTAAGAAAATTATCTGCACCTCTTTTGGTGTGGATGCCATGAGAGCAGATGCCTGTGGGATTCAGGAGAGGGCTTCGATCGATATGGCTGCAGCCAGAGTTACAGGCGGTTGTAAACTACCTGATGTGGGTGCTGGAGCAGAACTCAGGTTCTCTGCCAGAGCAGCCAGTGCTCTTAACTGCGGAGCCATCCCTCCAGCCTCCTGTTGCAACTTTGATAAACTCTGGGATCAGGCAGCGGGAGTGCTTCTTTATTGGCCATTTTTGTTGTTATTTCATCTCATTTTGTTTTCCAGAATGTACGTGAATTTGAGAAGATGAATTGTTTTTACAAAACTCCCATTGTACTTTAGATAAGAATTATATTGAATTTACTGATTATTTTTGTAGTACAGACATCTTTTTTTAAAAAAACCTTAACTCATTTTCATTGTATGACTATTTGCCTGCTGGTATGTCCGATTGCCACACATGTGTCTGGTCCCTGTGGCAGTCAGAAGAGGGCGTCAGATCCCCTGGAACAGCAGTTACAGGTTATTGTGAAACATTGTATGGGTGCTGGAATCAAAGCCTGGTCCTCTGCAAGAGCAGTCAGTGCTGTTAACCAATGAGTCATCTCTCCAGCCTCCTAATATAGACATCAGAACTAATTTTTCCACTTTAAGAATGAGATGATTCCTACTCACCTGCTTCCTCATTCTTTCAACAATGTCAGCCACTGTGTTTTGGAGAACACGTCATTTGGTGCTTTAGTTTAGGCTTTTTTCCCTATTTTTTTCTTTTTTCCTGGCGACAGAGTTTCTCTGTGTAGTTTTTTTTGGGGTGTCCTGGAGCTTGCTCTGTAGTCCAGGCTGGCCTTGAACTCACAGAGATCCACCTGGCTCTGCCTCCTGTGTGACAGGATTAAAGGCGTGTGCCACTGTCCACTGGCCTTCCCTAAGTGTTTTTAGATTATAATTTTAGTTTTAGAGATTTATTTTCATTTGTGTGTGTATATATGTGTGCATGATTGTGTATGCCATCCTGTTCCCATGCCCAAGGGGCCAGAAGAGAGCGCTGGGTGCCTGAAGCTAGAGTTACAGGAGGTTGTGAGCTGCTCCATATGGGTGCTGGGACTGAACTTGGGTCCTCTGCCAGAACA